CTCCCGGCCCCGCACCCAGACTCCCCCCTTTCCCTCTACTCCTCACGGCTGCAGGAACTTCGCTCTCCTCTCCGCTGTTTGAACCCACACCCTAACCGCAGCAGTCTGCTGTCAGAGTCCCTAAAGGCAGCTCGTGGGTGCGGACGCCGAGGAGGGTCTCAGCGGCTCGGCCCTGTCATGTCCTCAGAGGCAGCACCTGAGGCCCCAAGAGCAGCACCTTGAAAGGTCACCCAGGCGGAGGACCACAGCTGGGTTCACGCTTCCTTACCTCTCAGCGCCCACCCCTTGTTACCTATCCCCTCGCCCAAGGTCCCTTCACCTTCTGGTCCCCTCGCCCCCTCCTCCCACACCACATGTGACTGGGAGTGGGTTCAGCCGTGTCCCCTAAAAAGAAGTCCCAGTCCTAACCCCCGGTACCTATGAATGCGATGCTAGTCAGAAACAGGGTCTCTGCAGAGGTAACTAAGGGTCTTGAGAGGGAGCCGTTCTGACTTAGAGTGGGCTCCAAAGCCGTGACAGGTGCCGAGGGGAGCAGAGGACAGAGACGCGGGGGAGACCCAGGCAGACGGAGGCGAAGACGAGTGATGCAGCTACGAGCCAAGGGATGCCAGGGCTGCTGCGATCACCAGGAGCCGCAGGAGGGCAAGGATCCCCCGGGAGCCCTTGCAGGGAGCGTGGCCCCAAACACACCTCGACTTCGGGCTGCCTGAACTATACAGGTTTATCTTCTCTCACTGTGCCCGGTTTGCCATACTTTGTGACAGTGCCCTAAGAAACCACTCCAGTGGCCAGTCTTACCGTGGTCTCAGTTCTGTACAATCCTCACCTGGAACGGGGGCCCTGGGGAGGACCTGGTCTGGCACCAGGCCTAGTTCGCCGGGAGGCCCCAAGAAACGCCTGCCATTATTAACCGTGATCCTGACAAGAAGATCCTTCCCTGACCTCTCTCCCAAAATAATGGCAACATGGACATTTCCACATCCGCTTTACTCAAGCAACAAAAAGCAGACTGACAGCAGCGGGGAGGGGCTGGCTGACCGACCATGGGGGCCGACAGGGAACACAGCAGCAGGCAGGAGCTGGGGAGGGCCCAGGGTGGGTCTGGCTGCAGAGCCCAGAATCTGGAGTCAGAACTGAGGGAGGGTGGCCAGAACCTGGCAGCAGACTTTGAATTCCACAAATGGTCCCCAAACATCTTGAGATGGCCCAGTGGAGTCAGGAAGCTTCCCGGGCGAGGGCATTTCTCAGGCGGGGTCGGCGTGGGGGTCCTTGCAGGAGGGCGGGGCATGGACGCCAGCCCGGCTGGCTCCCGAGTCAGTCGGTCTTGGGCCCCGGGCTCCCAAGGGCTGACAGCGTGATATGGAGCTGGGCGGCATAGTAGGTGCTCATGGTCACCAGGCGGGCGTGGGGCACGGGCTGGGCGAAGGTGTCCCAGGCCAGCACGGCGTCAGAGACAGCAAAGAGCAGGGCACCCCAGCCGGCAGTCCCGCCCCGGGCCAGGCCCCGCCACAGCATGACGCTCAGGACCAGCTGGTAGGCCGCCATGGGCAGGACCATGCCAGGCTCGAGGTGCGGCTGCAGGAAGCTGTGCCATAGGACGGCGGCCAGGATGATGAGCAGCAGCAATCCTGGCCGCAGGGGCGAGAAGCCAAAGGCCCAGGAGTAGAGGACGTGGGCCAAGGCGAAGGCAGCCACGCCTGGTGGTGGAGAGGGGACAGCGAGGGCTTTGCTGCTTCTTCGTCTGTCTCGGCCACCACTCAGGGCCTGAGGGAGGGACTATCCCCAAGCACCGGTCCCGGCCTTGGCAGAGCCTCCCAGAGCTGCCCTCAGCTTCCCAAGTGGCTTAGAGCAGTGGGTGTGACCTTTGAATGCAGTGTCTATCCTTGCTCTGTGCAAAACCCCACCCCCTGTCCTTACTTGGCCTCCACAGCCCCATGCCCTCCGCCTGCCGGCCACTCTGCTCCGGCCACCCGGGCCTGTTGGACATGCGCACCTGGTACACCTGCCCCGGGACCTCTCCGCCTGCCACAGGGCCCTTCCCCAACGGGCACACGCACCTCCTTCCAGACTGCCCAAACCTCACTTCCTCAGCGAGGCCTTCCTTGACCACCCAGCTTATTACGACCTCGTCTTTATCTTCCTCCACGCCACCCCCCACCTTCTGACCTGACGCCATCTGACCCCACCCCCTCGCTGGACTGTGAGCTGCCTGGGTCCCACTGCGTCCCCAGTGCCCTGGGCCATGAGCTCCAGGGGAAGCCTCCCTGCACCCCAGGCTCCTCCACGGGACAGCTGGGATGCTCCACGACAGGGTCCCCGCTTACCAGGGAGGAAGGCCCCAGGCCAGATTAGGCAGGCGTCCCCCACGGCCGAGCACACAAGGGCTGCCTGGAGGAGCCAGACGTAGTCCCCGCCCGAAGGCACAGCCCACAGGAACGCGGCCAGGCAGAGGACGGGCAGGCACTTGACCAGGGCGCTGACCCAGGACGGCTGGTCCTCGGGAATCCAGAGCAGGAAGTAGATGGAGCAGGTGAGGAAGAAGGGGCTCAGCCACCTGCAGATGTTCAGGGGCTTTGGGGGGAGGAGGGGTGCTGCTGAGCCACTGAGCTCAGCCCCCATTTTTGAGGGTCAGGCCCCGCCAGACTGCAACTCAAATCTCCTGGCTTCTGTCCCACCCCACCCAGGACCCAAAGCTGCCCAGGCTGGGCCTATCCAGGGACCAGGCTCTTCAGTCTCCTCAGCGACCCAGTCACCCAGCTTCCTGGGGGGCCCCAACCAACTCTCCAAGGACACAAGCCCCAGGCTGCCCGGGTGCCCAGGAGCCCAGGCCCCAGCCGCCCCAAACCCGCGGAGGCTCTCACTTGGACTAAGCAGTGGACCCTCAGGGGCAGCCCCTCCTTGCCAGCGTCCATGTTGGCCTGTGGCGGCCCCAGAGCAGCCTCTGTCTGGGAGCTGCTGGCTTCCGGGGGCGGAGGGGAGAGCTTGTGGTTACACGTTAACCTGAGGAACGTGCTGAGGACTCTTTAACCGGTAACAGGGCCCAGGGAAACGTCACTCCCACTCTGGGGATGGCATCGCCTGGCACCCACTGATTAGGCACCTGTCAGGACCCAGGGGTCCCTCTGCCCCAGCACACTGGGATGTGGCTTCCTCCTGTCTGCCTAGGGATGAGGCCCACAAATGACCTCCCGTCGTCCTGTGCCCAGCCCATCTGGAAGGGACAGGGTGCAGAATTCCAAAGGCCGCCCCTTCTGGGGAAGCCAGGGAGGGAGCTGGCCAGCAGGACCACACTGGAGGGATGGGAAGGGGGTCTCCCTCCCTGCTTCAACCTTCCCTCCACCCCCTCAAGAACCCTCTGGGCTATCAGTGACCTCCACCAGAACACTGACTCAGTGGACAAGGACGGACATGTGAGTGCTGAGAGCTTTCGCTGTTCTTGCCAGCTGAGCCTCAGGCAACCTGCAGTGGCTCCCAAACCAACTGTGACCCATGGTAATGACTGTCATTGTGCCCCAGGGTAACCAAGATGAAGGTTTCCCAGAACACCACTTACCTGCAACACTCACCTGCACTGCCCACCTGGTCTTTACTTCAACCCTCCTGTCTGAAGATGTGGCCCTACTGCGTGCAGGTGTCCAGCCTCACCCTCAGGCCTGGCTGCTGGTGCAGGGAGTGGGCTGCTGGGTGCCCTCATCACCCATGAGGCAGCTCCTTGCTTCCCCCCAGGGGACCGGCTCAGGGAGCTGCAAAGCAATCCTCCCCCAGCGGGCCTGCCGGCAGGTGAGACATACGCCTGGCAGGAACCCTCCGCAGCCAGCACCTGGCCCAGCCTGGGGCCTCTGCTGCCACGGGACTCCCTCTGGCAGGACATGGCACCCAGTGACTTCCTGGCCAGTCCTCAGCCTACAGAGGGGACAGACTGGCTGGGAGGATCCCTCCAGCCTGTATGTGTAGCCCAGGCACACGTGGGGCTTAAACAGGGGCTCGAGGGGCCTGGACTGACAGCTCACATGGACCAGGTCCCTTCCTCCCGAAGTCCCTGCCTGGTTTGAACACAAGTTACATCCTCCCTCATGCCCCAAGGCCAGGCCTGGGCCAGCCGTCAAGATTTAGGAGCAGAGTCCCACAGAGGGGCTAGTGAAGGTCACCAACCACAGAGAGGAAACTGCTCTCCCCAGGTGACCGCAGCAGGCGCGGGAGGCCCTGGAGCTGGAGTACAGGGACAGCGCAAACTCACCCCAACCTATCCCAGAACTCAAGGTCTGACCAGCAGGAATCGTAAACTGTCTTCCTTTATTTATATTTGCAATATGAAATAAAAGCTCGGCACGAACGCACACACACTCACGCCAGCCCGGGAGGAGGGAGCTGGGACAAGGCCACTTGGCAATGGGGCTGGGACTCCAGGCCCTTGGGGCACAGGGGGACCCAACCAAACCCCGATTCAGGACCCCTGGGGATGTTGTCATGAGGCCCCTGCTCCCCAGAGCTGGCAGGCCTGGGTGAAGTGCAGGGTCTGGGCAAAGGCACAGCCCCTACTCGGCCCCGCTGATGCCCCCGTGCTCGCCGGGCCATCCCCGGAGCTGGACCTGAGCTGAAGGGCCAGATGTGGGTGTGGGCGTCTGCACCAGGGCACAGGGCAACCGGTGCGTGACGCCGACGCCAACCCCCACTGGGACGGGACAGGAGGGTTGTGCTTCGCGCCCCGGCCCCGCACAGCATCCTCGCTCCTCTCTGCGCTCCTCCCTCTCTCTATATAACATATAATATACGTCTCTCTCTGCTTTCTATCAGACTCTCTATATCGTTATTCTAGGAGGCAAAGCTCCCAAACTTCTCTTCTCAGTGCAAATGGGGGTAGGGGGCCGTCTCCCTGGCACCAGCCTCCTGGGAGTCCAGAGAGAACGTAGGGGTTGGGGTGATGAGGACAACGGGGGCCATGGGGGACCCGCCCTGCCCCCACCCAGGAGGTCCATGAGGAGGACGGAGGATCTGGCCGCCGCGGCCAGGCAGCTACCTGGGAACAGAGGGAGATGTCGCCTGAGGGTCCAGCAGACCCATCCCCCTGCCCGGCCCCTGGCCGCGGCCACACTCACTGGGGGCCCAGGGACGCAGGCCCTCCTGAGACGGAGCCACTGGGCATCGGAGGAGGCTGCAGGGCACTGCCAAGGAGAAAAGGCACACCCCAGAGTCACTTCCTGCCCCGCCAGCCCCACCCTGCCCGCCTGCTGCCCATCTGCTCACCTCTGGCTTTGGGGAGGCCCCACGGGCTCTGGGCTCTTCTCCCCCTCTGTGGTCTGGGGGACTCCGAGGGCTGGGACAGAGGTAGAGGGGTCTCTGGTTGCACTGTGGGCAAGAGGGGATGTGGCTGTCAGTGCCACCCCGACACCCAACCCTTGGCTAACGCCTCACACCCTGTCACCGCCTGAGTCATCTCACTCTGGGTATGCACCTGCCACCTGCCCCACTGGAAGGGGCCTACTAGTGGGGCTGGCACTGAGTAGACGCTCAGTGACCGCACAGTGCCCACTAGGATACAGATCAGATGGCAGAGCACGGGGGAACTGCATGGCCCTAGGCTGGGGGACAAGCAACACCCTCATCATGACTCACATCCGGCCGCCCTGGTCACCCCCAGGAGCTGGTACCCATGTAGGAGGCACTTGAGGCTGGCCAGACGCAGCCACACGGGGGTGTCTTGCACACTCCTGACCCTCCCAGGGGCCCTTCCCAACCCCTAGGGCTGCAAGGGGCCCTGTGAGTCCAGGCTACTCAAAGAAACAGCCTGTAGGGTACAGGGGCCCAACAGAGGCTGGGCCTGGGGGGTCTTGCAAGAGTGACCGGGAGCAGCTCAGGGACAGGATGAACCGAGAGTCCACCTCACCATGGAGGAAAAAGGCTTCTCCTGGCACCCGCTCTCCCTTCAGAAGCTCCCCCACCCCCATCACCTGTCCGAGGAGCTGGGGGTGGAGCAAATCCCGTGGAGGGTGGCCTGGAGGTCCCCGATGCTGACCAAGGCCTGGCAGGGGGCTGTGGAGGAGGAGAGACCATGACTCAGCCCCTGCTTCCCAACAGGCTCAGAGCTGGCCAGGCCACTCTCTGCCTGGGCCACCAGTGGGCAGGGTACAAGCAGAGGCTCACCTGAGGGCTCCGCTACTTTGCTGCCATCTGTGGCTTCCTGAGGTGCTATGGGGGGAATGGGGTCCTGAGACCTGCCAAGTGAGAGGGGCAGCCCAAGGGGGCAGCTGCAGTCAGCACTTGAGCCTCAGAGAGGACCGGGACGCGGCAACAGCTTCCCAGCCGCAGCCATCCGCCAGGTCCCATGCTCACCTGAGCTGCAGGGCATCATGGACTGGAGGGCTGACCAGGCTCTGGGCAGGGAGGCCCTGGGGCACGTTCGGGGGCCCCTGTGGGGCTGGGAGCCCAGAGCACAGCTCCTCCTCCCCAGAGATGTGGGGGCCAGCCGGGGCGTCCGTAGGCACTGGGTCCAAGGTGGCTGTCCAGCTGGGGCCTAGGATGGAGCAGGCAGGACAGAGCGTGAGCTTGGTGGCATGCAGGACACCCTGCACCAGGCCACAGCTGCCCCCTGACTCACCTGAGGGTTGAGGGCTGGGGCAGGAGGGGCGGGTGGTCCCTTCATGGGCTGCCCGGCTGTCGCCCTCCTCATCCTCCTCATCCTCATCCTCTTCCTCATCCTCACTGTCTGTGCTGCCTCCACTCCTGCCCAGAAACCACCTGGTCGGCTGGCAGTGTGAGACAGGCCAGCCGACACCCGCCCCTCCACTCCCCGCAGCCCAGGACCAGGCCCAGGAGACATCTGCTGGGGGGCCACGGCAGGGTGAGGGGGCCGGGGAACCCGGGAGTGTGAACATGCAGGGAGGGGCTGGGAGATGCCAGCAGGTGAGAGTCCCAGGCCACATCTGAGAACACATGTGGGCGAGGGCTGCGGCAGCAGAAAGGATGCAGTCATGCCCCCTCATCCACGCAGGACGGGCCCTCGGAAGTGCACGGCAGACCGCAAGCTCACCAGCTCTCGGGTCACCTCCTGGCCATCACCAGAGCCATCTACCTCACAGGCCTTCCCACCACCTGCACCACCCTTGGCACGGAAGGGCTGACTTTAACCCTCTTCCTCCAGCTAGCAACTCCAGGAAGGCAAAGACGCTTGGCTTTTGCCACTACCGTGTCCTCAGCCCTGAGAACAATGTCTGCACCCACAGCTGCCCCAAACTACTGGCTGAATGCTGACTGACACACAACTTGCAGCCGTGAAGAAAACCCAAAAGAACCTATGTATTCATCAACTGGGGAAGGGGTAAGCAAACTCCAGTCATGTGTCACTTAACCATGGGGATCTGTTCTGAGAAACGCACTGCCAGGCAATTTCACCACTAAGTGACCATCACAGACAGCACCCACACAACCGTAGATGGGGCAGCCTGCCGCACACCAAGGCTGTGTAGACACAGCCTATCCTTCCAGGCTACAAACCAGTAGAGCACGTTACTGTGCTGAACGCTGCAGGCAACTGTAACACAACAGTTAAATATCTGTGTATCTAAACATATCTAAACAGGCAGGGCGCGGTGGCTCACACCTGTAATCCTAGCACTCTGGGAGGCCGAGGCGGGTGGATCGCTCAAGGTCAGGACTTCGAGATCAGCCTGAGCAAGAGCGAGACTCCGTCTCTACTAAAAATAGGAAGAAATTAATTGGACAAGTAAAAATATACAGAAAAAATTAGCCGGGCATGGTGGCGCATGCCTGTAGTCCCAGCTACTCGGGAGGCTGAGGCAGGAGGATCGCTTGAGCCCAGGAGTTTGAGGTTGCTGTGAGCTAGGCTGATGCCGCGGCACTCTAGCCAGGGCAAAAGAGCCAGACTCTGTCTCAAAAAAAGCAAATAAATAAAATAAACATATCTAAACATAGAAAAGGTACAGTAACAACATGCTGTTATAATCTTATGGAGCCACCGTTGTACGTATGGTGTCATTGACCTCAATATTATGTGTGCATGACGGTACACTATTTCCAAAATGCTGAACACGTGTCTTAACAGTGTTACCAACTACTTTAACTGGAAAATAATACATCTGTACGTGGTTACTAAAACACTCAGCAATCAAGGAATATAAGGGAACTCCCTTAACCTGATAAAAGGCATCTATAAAAACTCACAACTAACAGCATACTTAAATGGTGAAAGCCTGAATGCTTCCCCCTAAGATAAGGAACAAAACAAGGATTCCCATTCTCACCACTTCCATCCAACATGGTACTGGATGCTGGCCATAGCACTCAGGCAAGAAAAGGAAATAAAAGGCATCCAGATTGAAGGGAAGAAGGAAAACGATCTCTATTCGTAGATGACTTGATTTTGTATATAGAAAATCCTCAGGAATCTACTACAACTACTAGAACCCGTAAATGAGTTCAGCTAGGCCACAGGATACAAAATCAATATACAAAAACTACTGTATTTTCATACACTTGCAACAAACAATATGAAAGTGATTTCAAGAAAATTCTATTTACAATGGTATCGAAAAGAATAAAGTACTTAGGAATAAGTTTAACAAAAGAAGTGCAAGTCTTATCCTCTAAAATCTAGAAAACATCATTGAAAAACATAAAAAGACTATATAAATAAACAGGAAGACATACTACTGTTAAAATGGTAACAGTCCCCAAACTGACCTACAAATTCACCGTAAACCCCACCAGTACCCCACATGGCTTTGCTGAAACAGACAAGCTGATCCTAAGATTGATACGGAATCTCAAGGGATCCCAAATAGTCAAAATCATCTGGAAGAACAAGGTTGGGAGACTCGCACTTCCCATTTGCAAAACTCACTACAAAGCAACAGCAGTTGGGACAGCATGGCACTGGCATAGAGAGACACACAGAGCAGAGGGCAGAAATAAACCCGCACACATACGGTCAAGTGATTTTCTACAAGGGTGCCAAGATCATCCAGTGGAGAAAAGACAGTGTCTTCAAAACTGGGTTCTAGGAAAACTGATTATCCACATGTAAGAGAGTAAAACTGGATCCCTATCTCACACCATATACAAAAATTAGCTCACAATGGATCAAAAATCAAAAAACCAGCACCATAAAACTCTTAGAAGAAAACGAAGGGGTAAATTATGTTGTTGGATCTGGCAACGACACACGCTTGTGCATAAATGACGCGAGTGAGGAGGGTGTTGGCAGCAGCCCCGCATATAGAGGACAACAGGTACTGGGCTGGTTGTGCTCCTGACCTGGGTGCTGACAGAGTGTCCACTTGGCCACATTCTTAGGATGTGTGCTTGTCTGTACACACGTTACATCAACAGAACAGTTAAAACAAAACACCCTAATTTCCAAATTAAAAGTCACGAGGCGAAAGCTCACAGCTGCAGATTGCGCACTGGTGTTCACGCTGGCAAATCTACACGCACTAACCCGCGTCATCACAGAGATGCCGGTGCCAAGACAGTATTAGAGAAAAATCAATGTCACATCTGTGCAAAAAACTAATCACAGCCTAACTGGGGAGGGACGTCATCTCTCATTTTACTGGAATTAGAGAGAAGCTACTTCGGACTGTTCTACCCCGCTTTTGGGAAAATGTGCATTAGAGCTAACACAGGGAAAGCAGCACAGTGGAGGGATGGGGGAGGGAGGGGGCAGGGGATATTCTAGATGCACCAATACCCAGCCACACTGTCCTGACTGTTGTTGCTTCATAGTAAGTTTTGAAAATTGGGAAGTGTGAGTCTCACAAGTGTGAGAACCTTGTTCTTCCAGATTATTTTGACTATCTGGGATCCCTTGAGATTCCGTATCAATCTTAGGATCAGCTTGTCAGGTTCAGCAAAGCCATGTGGGGTACTGGTGGGGATTACTGAGAATTTGTAGGTCAGTCTGGGGACTGTTACCGTTTTAACAGTAGTACATCTTCCTATACCTGAATGTGAGCTATCTTTCTATTTATTTATGTCTTTTTGCGTTTTTCAATGATGTTTTCTAGATTTTAGAGTGTAAGACTTACACTTCTTTTGTTAAACTCATTCCTATTTTATTCTTTTTGATACCACTGTAAATAGAATTTTCTCTCCGAAGGACCTGCCCATGTTTCCAGCCACAGATAATGCTCATCCTTTTCTTTCTGTAGCTTAACTCATTTCAACTGGATTTCGATCGCTCAAAATTGAAAGCACCTTCAACTAATACACACACCAATACATCTTCCTTGTTTTTCTCATTCGCTTCAGCCTCGGTCAGCCCTGCTGTGTAGTGGATGCTTGGAGAGGGGCTGGGGGGACTCACTGAACGCCAGGGGGCTGGCCCAGGCAGGCCCCCCTTGCCAGCTGACTGGTCTGCCAGGCGCTGTCCTCTCCATCGGACTCCCCTGAGCCCTGGCCATCCTCCTCGTCCTCCTCCTCCTCGTCATCAAACTGCTGGATGCGGTCCTTGTAGCATATCTCGAGCAGGTTGGCGTTGGGCTGCAGGGAGGTGGGGGAGGATGGGCTGCACTGCCGGCAGCCCCCGAACCTCCACCCACACAACCGCAGGATAGGGCGGCACTCACGTTCTCGTCATCCGCGTTGAGGGAGAAGGTGATGTTGGCTGTCTTGTCAAAAGGTGCGCTAGAGAGAAGGCGGAGGGGCAGTGAGGGGCGGGGCCCTTCTCTGCTCTTTGCTCACTCCACACATCTGACCTTCACTACTCATGGATTCCGCATCCACAAATTCACCTATTCCCTAAAATATATGTTACCCCAAAACCAATACTTGCAGTGTGTAGGGTAAATGCACCTTCCCACAAAGGCCACATAGTGCCCTCCGATCTCAGCCTTCGGAAGAACCTGGAGGGTCTGCCTCCCACTCTGGCACCTGTGCTGGGCGGCCTCAGGAGAGTCACTTAACATTTCCGAACCAAGGAAACGATCTACCCCAATGAGTGGTTTTAAGGATTTAAAATCATCATGTGTGTGAGACGTTTACATATATACACACATTCCCCTAGGAGCAACGGTTCCAGTTGTGTCAATCCAGCTTTCACGGCCACTTCATACATCAGCCACTGCAAAAAACGATTCCAGCCAACACGGTGCTAGGCCTCCACTTACACTAGCAGCCATGTGCAACTCAAGCAGAAATCAAAGAAAAATGCAAGTGAGTCCTTTTTACTTGCCCAAGTCAGGGTGTGTTGATGTTGTGGCTGTTGCCATCTCTTGTTTGCAGTGAGAGTGCGCAATGCTGGTGATGGTGAGGGGGCTGGCCGGGCACTACCCTTCTGGAACACAGCTGACGAGACCTAGCTGAATGCTAACATGGTTCGCTGAGTCAACGAGAACTCACACGAGCCAGCGACGATCAGGGCATGGGGCTACAGCATGACAAAGCACCTTTCCTAACCATAAGACGCCTATGTCTGTGGCTGAAATTCTAAAGTACAGGCAAAAGAATCATTTTCAGAACTTAAGCGAAACGCCACCACTCCTGACGCAAGGTAGGGCCCACACGAGGTCCTCAGCGCTGAGCTTGCGCAGCTTGTCCCGGGAGCACTGCACCGGCATAGCCCACCAGTCCTTGCTTCCAGCCTCCCAGTGTCACAAACACACCGACTTGGGTGTCCATGAACCTGCACCTTTGCTCAATTCTCTCTCAAACAGCCTCACAGAAATGCCAATTCCTGGATTAAGAAATTAAATCCACACATTTAACTATCCACACACTTAGCCAAAAAAGGACTCATCAATTCCGACTCCCACCAGCACAGCCGGCGGCTTTGCCACCATCCCCTGCTTGTTTTGTTCTTAGCCTTTGCTCGCTTTTTCTACCGGGGTGTTGGTCTTTCTCCTGTTACGGGTTGAGGGCACTTTATGTTACGTGGGGACCATGCTCTGGCTCATGTGTTAGGGACACTTCCCAAGGGATCATTTGTCTCAAATTCACGAAACATTTTGCCACAAAGATCAATGGATCATGGACGGCTGCAATTCCTGACTCCTGACTCTAAGCATGTGACAGGTGAGCCCCCCAGCAGCATCTGCAGCCCCAAGATTATAAAAATATTCATCCATTTCCCACACTAGAACTTCTCCTTGGTTTAGTTTTATTTCATTTAAAGTTTTTAGCCCACTGGAATTTGTCCTGGAGGAGGAGGTGGTAACAGTTCCATCCCAAAAGGGTGGCTGGTCATGCCAACGCCCTCCACCACAGTCTGCCCGTCCCTGGCCAGCATGCGGTCGGGTTTCCTTTCTTCTCCAGGGATCTCAGTACCGGCCTCTGATCAACAAGGCCCAGCGCTGCCTGAGGCCCCCACGCTGGGCACAGAAGCAGGAAAATGGGATCTCACGTCTGCGCCTAGGGGGCCTCTGCCCCAGCTGTGGACGCAGAGAGGCCACAGCCAACCGCAGCTGGTCACAGTGCCCCTGGCGCTGTGCTGCACGGGGACCATGGGGCAGCCGTAGGCAGGCTCAGTCTCCCGGGCTATCAATGGCATAGGGTCCCTGCAGCCAAGGGCAGTTTCAGGCATGCAATGGGATGGTAGCTGAGAGGCGCCCACAGCAGACGCAGGCAGCACCCCATACCCCCGCCTCTGGCCTCCCTCAACCCAGCCGCCCACGCCAGCACCTCTGCAGAGTCCCAATACAGGCAGCCTCTGTGCCCTACCCACTGCCAACGGTGTACTTTCACTTTTCCCAGTGACACCGTGGACTTACTTTCCACAAGTCACCGCCCTTACAAAGATGGCATCCCCTACGCTGTTCACCCAGCACCTCCCTCTGCAGCGTCAAGGCAGAGGCCTGCTATGCCCAGCCTCACAGTGGAAGTTCCAGAACCTCACCTCCAGGGTAGATGGTGGCCACTTGGTCAGGCGTGGTTAGCAGCAGAGGCTGAGGAGCCGCACCCGTGGGCTGGACGACCCCTGCCTTCTATGAGGTGCCCACTCGGCCCTAGCCCTGCCATAGCCCTGCCACCCTCCAACCTCCCACCCAGACTGCAGGCTGTCTTCCCTTCATTGCCGCTCTGCTGTCACAAGCTTGCTTGTGCCAATTCATTTACAAAGTGTTAGCAAATTTTAATTTTTTTATCTAACTATAAAAGCAATAGATGCTTACAGCAAGAAACTGAGAAAGCAAAATTTCATAATCGTAACTCTCAGACGTGAATGTTGTTATGTTGTTTGCCCAACAAATAAACACAGAATTGGTGGTTGCAAAAAAACCTTTCGTCACCCCAAGGCCTCCAGAGGGAGGAGAGGTAGAGCCCTGTGCTCGGCAGACCTGCCCGCCCAGAGAGCATGTACAGAGGCCGGCTCTGCACCCACAGTCCCCGCGCCAGGACCCACAGGTCTGCTTTCCCCCCACAGTCCCATGCACCTCCCCGGCCCGGGCGCTCCAAGGCTGAGATTGGGGCTCGGGAGCTGCTCTGAGTCCCCAGTACTGGGGACATTTGTGCCTTCACTGCAGAGAGGAAAAAGACTCCACAGCTGGGACTCATCTAACAGGAGGCTGTGGCCAGGGCGTGCCCAGGAGGGGAGTGACTGCAGGCTGGGCTGCACCAGGCACGCAGGTGCACGTGGCGACACAGGCAGGACAGGGCCCTGGCCTGGGGGACACTCACTTCACACTCTCCTCCTGCTCCCCAAACTCCTCGTCATTGAAGCCGAAGTGGTCAATGAAGGATGAGGTCATGCGCTGCATCTGGAAGTCCATGAAGGCCTGTGGGGCACAGAAGTCAGGGGTTGGAGGGAGCTGGGCTGGCCGAGTCCCGCCCAGCACAGCCCCAGGCCCACCTGCTGCAGTACAGCCTCCTCGGGGAAGTTGAACTCCTTGAGCCGGTCATCCTCATCATCACTGGAGGAGTGCAGGTGGTGGGTGTTCACCTGGGGGGTAGGGGTGTCAGGGCCTGCTGGAGCCCCCCGACAAGGGTGGGGAAGGCAGCTCTGAGGAGGGAGAGGCTGAGACCGGGCCAAGAGAGAGAGTAGCAAGAGGGACGCAGGAGGAGGAGCCAGGACTCACCAGGTCCACCATGTTCTTCTTGTTGGTCTCCGCCAGGGGCCCTGCCACGAACGCCTCCCACCGCTCCTGCTGCTCGCTGGGCAACTCTGCTCGGATAGGGAGGGTCGAGGATGTGGGGCGCCCCTCAGCCTCCAGCCTCCCCCGACCCCCGCCCCAGGCCAGGCCCGGGCCCTCACCCTTTAGCAGCTGCCCCAGCTGCTCTGCGTTGGGCCCCTTCTCTGCATTCTGCACCAAGGCATTGGCCACTCTCGTCAAGTGGCCCATGTAGCCTTTCCGCGGGCCCCCCCCAGACCTGAGAGAGAGTGGAGGCCACAGCTGGACACCAGGGCCGCCCAAGCCCCTGGCCCGTCCCCCACCGCCCCATTCCCAATGCAGCACAAAGGCCAGCGGGGACGCACTGCACGCGGTCGTTCTCCTCCCAGGACGTCAGGATCCGCTCTACCAGGCAGCACCGCTGCAGCAGCTGTGGGAGAGCAGGACGTGGTGGCCTTGGGGGGCTGCACATGGGGGAGCTCGGCCCGCAGCAGGGTCCCCTCCCAGCAGGTGCCTCACCAGGCCCATCCACACGTGGTGGGAGGGAGGGAGGGAGGCTGGGCCCGTCTCCTAAGCCTGCCTAAATCTCTGCTGTTTCTACCGGGAGCACATAGCACACGCACACACACACCCTCACAGCCCCTCAGCTGCTCACAGGCCCACCCCACCTCGCCCCCTAGCTCAAGCTGGGCCCTCACGCCCCTGCTGCTCCCCAGCCCAGACACACACGTTGAGGGGGCGAGGGGTGGGACACAGGGGAGGGTGGCCCACAGGGATGAGCCCCAGCTCACATGTTTCACAACGGGGTTCTGGATGGGTGTCTCAGGGTTGCTGTCAGGAGGGGGCCCCAAGCTCAGCATGGTGCTCACACAGCCCTCCACTTGGGCGTGCAGGAAGTTGTTGAAGACGTAGTGGAAGAAGAGGTCCTATGGGAGACACAGGCTGGCACCAGAGAGCCTCAGCCCCAGGCCCAGTCACAGCCCCTCCCAATCTCACTCCATCCCATACCAGCATGGTGTTGGGCACGTCCAGTGCCAGGAGCTCCTGTGTCAGGGCCGTGTCATTGGCGCTCAGGGCACTGGCTAGGAGCTTGACCACATGCAGCCGCGTGTTGCCCAGCGGTGGGTCCAGGCTGCCCCATGTCATCCGCAGCGGCTCCAGCTGCAGGTGAAGGGAGGTTTGGTTCCCAAGGGCCACCCTCCCTGCCACCCACACCTCCCCGAGGACTGTGACCCCCCGGTCCTGACCTTGGGTGGTTCAAGCAAGAGCTGGTGGAAGCAGCCCAGCCGCGGGCGCAGGGCATGCAGGGTGCCCACGCTGGATGCGGTGCTATCCAGGGCCCCCTGGGCCAAGAGCTCCAGCTGCCCATCCGCACTGCTGAAGAAGTTGTTCATGGTCACGGACTCAGACCTGCGGCAGGGCAGGGTTGAGGGCAGAGTGAGTCCCAGGCAGCCTACACGCAGTGAGCGTGAGGAGTGTATCTGGAGGGAGAAGGGCACGCCCTCGGGTGCTGCTCTGATCTGGCACTCTCTGGACAGGCCAGGCCAGCGGGCAGAGAAGAGCAGGGCTGGCTGAGTGGGGCAGCGAGCTGGCCTGGTGGCAACATCCGCAGTCCCCTGTTGGGGGGACAGGTGAGGGGTGTGGGGCTGGACAGAACCCAACGGCTGAGTGCCCTGCATGGTAAGGGTTGGCTCAGCAGCCTCTCAGTGCACACCTGGGGTCCCAGCCCCACCCCAGCCAGCAGGCAGTGGACGCAGCCTCAGTGTCTTCACTTGTCAACAGGACAAAAGGACTCTTTTCCCACCCAGTGCTGACCACTGTGAGAGGGGACACACCCGCCACCACGCGGTGAGGAAGCTGGGCACTCTGCACAGTGGACACCACGACATGTCCTGCCTGAGGCTCTGAGGGTCTCAGAGCCTCACCCCATCCCTGCCCACCCCCACACAGGGCCGGAGGGCCCCTCACCTTGGCCTCCTGGGCTCCAGCAGGGTCAGCAGCACCTGGATCCCGCTGACGAGGACAGAGGGGCTCTGCTCCCCCTCGAACATGTTGCTCAGGAGCTGCTCGATTGTCTCCTGCCTGGGGGATGGGTGTGGTCAGTGAGGAGCCAGGGACCCAGGGATCCCCCAGGATGCTCCCCCTCCTCAGGCCCCGGCACCCACTTCTCCAGAGTGGCCAAGAGCTGGTCTGGCTCCGGGCTGTCCTGAACTTGGATCATCTGTTCCCGGCTCAGGCGGATGATGTCGCACAGGGACTGGGACGCGTTGGAATGTTGCTGGGAGGAGACAGGTGAGGACCCCGGTCGGGCCACTAGGCCCTCCACAGCCTGGCATTGGGACCCCCAACGCACTGAACCCTCCAGCCCCAGCCCCTCCGGGAAAGGGAAGGATGGTCACATGTGTGTCACGGAGGACAGCACAGAGGCACCAAACACCAGAGGGAACAGTTGCTGGAGAAACTGGGGAAGGATTCCCAGAGGGGAGACATCCACACAGGACCCCCCACCCATGCACACAGCAGACTATCCGCAACAGCGCAGACATCTGTTGACTGGTGAACAGATAAACCAAACCTGGTATAGCCACACTGGAATATTACTCAGCCATGAAAAACAATGCGGCCCTGACACACACAACCACATGAATAAGCCTCGAAAACATCGTGCGGAGAGAAAGGAGCCAGACACGGAAGATCACGTGGGACATGATCCCACTGATGTGAATGTCCAGAACAGGCAGCTCCACGGAGACAGAGCAGTCTGGGGGTTGCCAGGGGATAAAGGGAGTGGGATGTTGGGAGGGACTACTAACAGCTAAAGAGATTTTTGTTGTTTGTTTGTTTGTGAGACAGGGTCTTGCTGTGTGGCCTGGGCTGGAGTGCAGTGGTGTCGTCACAGTTCACTGCAACCTCAAACTCCTGGGCTCAAGCGATCCTTCTGCCTCAGCCTCCCGAGCAGCTAGGACTACAGGTGCATGCCACCACACCCCACTAATTTTTTAGTTTTTTTGTAGAGACCAGGTCTTGAGAGGTGTGTGGGGGAGTAAAAAAAAAGAGAGAGAGACTGGGTATCACTATTTGCCCAGGCTGGTCTTGAGCTCCTAGACTCAAGTGATCTTCCTGCCTTGGCCTCCCAGAGTGCTGGGATTACAGGCGTGAGCCACCACACCTGGCTGCAGGGCTTGTTTTTTGGAGTGAAGAAAAATATTCTAAATTCAACACAGTGATAGTTACATAATACTGTGAATGTACTAAAAGCCTCCGAATTAGAAATTTAAATGGGTGCTGTATGCTATATAACTTCTCTCTCAGTAAAGCTGATTCTAAAGGAAATAAAAGAGGCGTGCAAGCAGAGCTGAGTCTAACCCAACAACCAGCTGCCAGGGATTGGCCTCGTGGCCCCCAGACCTCAGGGCCCCTCACAGGCGCCTGCCACATGGCTCACAGCCCCCTTCCTGCTGCAAAGGCCTGAACAGACATCACCCTCCCTGGGATGGGCCTGCCAGGGGGAGCCCCAAGCCCTGTCTCCATGCTACAAATCCACGAGCCTCCTGAGGCCAAGACCATCACTAGGACGCCTTGCTCCCGGTGGCCTCAGAGCCTGAGAAGACCCAAGGCCAGGGGAACACACAGACTCAGGCCCCTCGAGCTACTGGGAGCAGTTGCTCTCAAGAGCAGGTCTGCTGGGTGAGCTGACAGGCAGGGAGTTAACCGGGCAGGGGAGATGGAGAAAGAGCCGCCAGGCCCAGCAGCCAGCACAGGCCAAAGTGGGGAGGGCGGGAAGTGAGGCCCAGGGCCAGAGACCCCTCCCCTCAAGGGATTATGTACCAAGTTCCTGGTTCATGGAAGAAACCTTCCACGTATACAGACCCTTTTCTCACAGGGTGTGGACAAGCCTGGTTCTCAAAGCTCCTTTTTCTCACCAATTCCTCTTTTAAAAGGAGGTAGAGTGGGCATGGCGAATGGACTTGTAGGGGAGGCTGCAGGGGCGCCAGTGACACTCACGTTGTCATCCTTTGAGGGGTGGATCTGCTCAATCAGCCGCTGGACAATCTTCTCCTCGTTGAGCCACTGAGGGCAAGAAGACAGGCGCTCCATCACCGCCTACCTCCCCTCGCCCCAGCCCCCATGAAGAGGGGCCGCCCCACTCACGTTGACAACGTCCTGCCGCAGCTGGGGCTGCTCCACACAGGTGAGCAGGCGCAGCAGGAGGTCCATGATGGCTGAGGTGCCAATGTGCTGCAGCAGCAGGTCCACGAAGTCGTCCTTCTTCCGCAGGAAGGACACGAGCTGGGGGCACATGGGCGGTGTCTCGCACAGAGGCCTGGCCTACACCCCCCACCCTGGGCCACGGGCCGGGAGAGCCAGAGCACCTCATCCGTCTTGCGGTTGATGAGGATGCCCATGACCTTGCTGAAGAAGCTGGCCAGCAGCGGGTTGAGGCTGCCGCTGCTCTGCAGGAAGCCGTAGAGCCGGTTCAGGAGCGACTCGTCGGCACCCAGGGCATCGTTGATCTGGGGCACGTCAGAGGTCAGGATCTCACAGGCCACACTGGGGTACCTGGGGGAGGAGTGTGGGGTGGGTGGGAGGCTCCACCCTCTCCCCTGCACTGGGCACTGGGGGAGACCCATGTCCAGGAAGGGGATAGAGCACAGCACGGGTGGAGGGTGGGGCCAGGGAAATGAGGTCCCTGGGCAGGCCTCCTCTATCATTCCGCACCCAGCCACCCCTTCCTGGGCTCCCTACCACCCCAAGACTTGACCCTGGGCTTGAAGCTCCAGTGTTTTCTGACGCCCCACTAGCAATATCCATCCCTTCTGCGTCCTTGACATCTTCCCAGGTAGCCCCACACGCTGCCCCAGCTCAGGTTCCCTCTCTCCTGGGCCACCTGAGCTTTCTCCTCCCGCCCAGCCCCACTCTGGGAGACTTTTTCCAACTTCCAAACTTATCCCCTGCCTAAAACACTCACATGGTGCCCAGTGGCTCCCATGACAAGAGCTGCCCTGTCCAGCATCCCACCAAAGGTCCCACAGGACCAGAACCTGCTCTAGGTCTGACTGTAGGGGATCCCACAGTGCCCCCTCCCCTGGAAAGTGGGATCCTTGGGGCAGGGCACAGACCCCAGGGGCCAGCAGGGCACAGATATCAAAATGGAGGCTCCCTGAGTGTCCTCCTGCTATCTGGTGCACGAGAGCACAGTCCATGGCCCACTGGACGCTGGTCGAGTGAGGGTGGATGAGCAGGACAGAGGCTCTGGGCAGAGAGAGGTCAGAGCAGAGGAGGGAGAGAAGACACACAGGATGGGTGGTGTCTGACAGACAGACACGGGCAGCACAAGAGATACTGCCGGCCCTGCTGGAGGTCCTGTCAGCATCAGCAGGGGACCTGCTAAGCCCTGTGCTCCAGGGTGGCAGCCACCTCCTTGAGTCCCCACTTTATAAGAGGCAAAGTAGGGAGCAGCCCTTGCCCTGGCCTGGCCTCCATGCGAGAAGCAGCGTGCACAACCTGAAGAGCGGGAGCCCAGCACCAGCAAGCCAGGAGGCCAACAGGAGGTTCTCGCAGCAGCCCAGGAAAGGCCACAGAGACCAGGGAAGACAAGCCCCAACTCCCTGACAGGGCTGGGCCCGCCTGGTCCCACCTCCCCTGAGGCGAGCACCTGGAGCACACCTGCCCTTACCATCCAGGGAGCAGCAGGCAGGAGGGGGTGGCCATGTGCAGAGCTTCCCCCACGCCAGGGGCTGGCCAGGCACCAGGGCGCACGGGTGGGCAGATACAAAGGAGACATTAACAGAGAACCACAAGTGAAGAAGATGCTGCCTGGAATGAGGAGATGTGCTTTAAATGGCACTGGGAGCCCCACAGCTGTCCCACGGTGCAAGGGTGAGCGCTCAGAGCTGAGGACACAGTGAGCTGAGGCTGATCTTGGTGGGACCTAGCTACTTAGGCTCAATGAAAGGAAAAAATGATTTTTGCATGCAACAGTCTGGATCAATCTCCAGAGAATTATGACGAGAAAAAAACCAATCCCAAAAGCTTACCTATTATATGATTCATTTTAAAACATTTTCAAACAAAACTGTTTAAATGGAGAACAAATCAGTGGCTGCCAAGAGTCAAGGCTGGGGTGGAAGGGAGGCGAGTGTGGGTCCTTGTGGTCATGGAAGTGCTCAGGATGGCACTGGGGTGGCCGACACGCAAACCCACGAAGGTGAGGAACGTAACGTGTACACGCACGCACAGAGAGTACGAGTAAAACTGGGAAACCTCCTTTTAACAGGCGGACAGTGTCAACATCGTCACCCTGGCTGTGATGCCCTAGCGGTTTTGCAAAGGTACTTGGGATCTCTGTTACTTCCCACAGCTGCCATAAAGATTTCAATTGGAAAAAAACACCAGGGAAAAAAGATGGGGGGGACAATTAGCAGATGTAACAAGATTGGCAAAACACTGCTCCTTGTTAAGGCTGGGTGAAGGGTCCGCGGAATTCACTCTAATCCGTACTTTGGGGAAATTCCATAACAACAAGCTTTTAAGAAATGGCATGCTGAAGCGGTCTGGAGCCCAGGCCTGGTCTACACCCAGGTGCTCATCGCCAAACCGGAGGTCCTGGTATCAGCTGTCTCTGTGAGGCATTCGTGGTGAAAGTGTGTGAGATGCCGAGATAGCACAGGCCAGCCTGGAGCCAGGGTCTGGGGTACAGGGTAGGGACTCACTTGTAGCGCAGCCGCTCCTCGCCGCTGGCAGGCGGCTCCTGGGTGACCCAGGCCACCATGGCCTGCAGGTGGGGCGGCTGGAGCAGGAAGTCCAGCAGCTTGCGGTTGACGACCTTGCACTCCTGCAGCACGTCCTCCTCGTCCAGCAGCTCAGGCAGGCTTAGGTCCTCCCGCTCCAGCAGCGTGTCCAGGTGTGAGCTCGTGTGCAAGTCAAACTTCCAAAACATGGCGCCCTGCGGGCCCGGGGCACAACCAGCACCACGTCAGACGCGTTCATGGGAGCCCCCACTGGACGAGGCACTGGCCACCTGCCTCGGGAACAGCCTCTCCCCGAGACCCGGTCCTCACCCTCAGGTCAAGCCCGGCCCCACCCGGGGGCTCAGCACCTCTATCACACACGCACACCAGGCCTCGCCGGCTTCCCCCCGGCCCACCCACCCCCTCCAGCTCCAGCCTCCATGCTGCCTCCCCTGAGGTCCAGAGAGTCACTTCACACCCAAGGCCGACTGTCCTGCCCACCTCTCAGCCTCAGGCCTGGTAAAGTCCCCTGGTATGGACCACACAGGGCCTGCAAGGAGAGGCTGCACATTATGCATAGAGTGATCTCTGACCCCGTCGCCCATGAGGGCCTTTGTCCACTGTCTCCATATGTGGGCAGGGACATCCCAGGGGCAGAGCCTGAACCTCTGGCTTCACTTCAATCTGTATTTGCTGCACAAATTCAAATGCCCCATGACCTCCAGTGCACGGCTGCTGCCCAGCCCAGCAAATCACCCAAGGCTGTGTGGGAGGTTCAGGGTGGGGGCAGGGGGAAGAGAGGAAGTCTGTGCTGTCTCCAGGCTGTGGCTGTTGCCTGGACACCACTTACACACAAACACAACCCAACCAACCTCTCACCACCCAGCACCAAGGCCTGGGACAAGGAAGAGGAAAAGTTGTGGGGGTGGGGGGCAGGGTGGGGGATGCTCCCAGAATAGCCACTGACCAGGGCCCAAAGGAACCCAGGAAGGGATGAGCAGTCTCTGCCCGGGAAGAACAAAGTGGGCTACCAACACCTGGCTCTGATCCTGTCCCTCTCCCCTGGAGGACAGCATGTGGCCCTCACCTTGGCCAAAGCCCCCACCCTGCACCTGCACAGGTAACTAGCGGGCAGTAAGAGCAACACACACGGAGCATTAACCACACGCCAGGCAACGCTGTTCTGAGCCCCAGACCTGTGCTCTCAGCTGCTGTGCTCTGAGGCTCCGATGCTCCCGGCTCTGCACGTGCGCTGTGCACATGACGTCCAAGCTCACAACCGCCCCCAAGACACCGTCATCATCCCACCACACAGGATGAGGGGCAAGCGAAGCCCAGGAAAGTCAGGTGGCTTCCCAGTTCTTCACCGGCCATCTGGTCCCCAAGGACAGCATTTGTGGAGCTCTCACTACAGGCAAGGGGCTGACCAGAGCTATGCTCATTACCTGCCTCCTGACAACTGCACAACTGCCTGAGGCAGAGGCCTCTGCCATCCCCAAGTCACCCCGGAGGACACTGAGGACAGAGCAGGGTACAGGAGGTTGGGCTGCCGCTTCCACAGCCCCCACCCGTCACTTCGCAGGCACGCAGATGCTAGTCCGCCTCCTGCAACACACTTCTGCGCCTTCTCTGCCCAACCCCCTCCTCCCGGGGCCAGCCATGCCCTCTGCACAGGCCTCCCTGAGTCCCTGACCTGCCACCTTAGCACCCACCGGCCACCCCAGGACCCGGGCCCCAGGGAACAGACAAGCACAGATGGAGCACCAGGCCCAAGGAAGAGACACCAGAGCTCAGGGAAGCAGCTTAGGCTGACAACAGGGCATCCTGAGTCTCCATCCCTCTAAGATGCCACGAGCACCCAGCTCTCCTTCCTGCCCTGCCTGAAGTTGGGACTGACACACAAGCCTCCCCTGCCTCCTTGCTCAGCCACCCCTGCCTGCCAAGTGATCACCCCGAGGCTCGGCTCAGCTCAGGTCAGCACTACCGCGACCTTTCTCCCAGGCTGCCGTCTGCCTCGGTGACTCTGTATCAATAATCCTGGTGGGAGGCACTAGCCAAGGACAACTGAAGGTAGAGTGGAGGGAAGAGTTCTGTAACCAGCAACAGCCGTGAGGGCAAGCGGGGCAGGAGGAGACGGTGGCAAACTCCAGGCCTGAGACCGGGGACGGGGGGCATTTGAGAGCCCCCACTCCTCTGGGGTCTCCTGGCTCCTAGTCCACACAAGCAGTGACTCACGCAGTACCCCCACCCGCCTGCTGTTCCCATGATCACCCTTGAGCACGAACTTGAGCACCTCGTGTTCATTCCAGCCAAGAGCCCTGCAACAGCTCCCCTGGTCCCGCATTCAGGGCCCCGAGGCCCAGCCCCTGCCCACACCCAGCCTCCTCTCTGGCTCAGCCGTGCCCCTCCCCCATCCTTTCAGCTTGCTGACTGACCTCTGCACCAGCTCTGACCCCAGCGCCCTGGGAGGCCGTGCCCAGTGCCACCTCCCCAGAGCAGCCTCCGTCTCCCTGTGCTCCAGGGGCCACCCAAGGCACAGGGCTGGGTAAACGGGGGCATTCCCTGGACACATCAGACAATGCCACTGTCGGCTGCCCTGCACCTCCACCGTGCTGACCACTCCTCCAAGGACCTCACGGCCATTACCTCCACTGCCTCTCACGACCACCCACAGGAAGGAACCGCCAGCCCTATTTTACTAGGAGGAAACTAAGGCACAGAGAGGTAACTGCCCAAGCCCAGATCTGGGGGTGGTGACCACTGGAACTGGCACTCCGTCCCCAGAGTGAGGAGCGCTGTCCCCAGCACAGGGCCTGGGCGGAGGACGCTGAGACACTTGTGGGATGGGCAAGCTCCAGCCCAGCTGGCCCCAGCACGTGCTCTGCCTGAGCGAGCGGTCCTGGCTGTGGCCCACCCTGACCTCACTCTCACCCAAAGGAGGAGCTTCCCCTTCCTGGTCCTTGGACTTGGCTGGACGCTGGGCTCCTGGTCTCCCTTGTCCCTGGCACCTAGCACCTACTCAACAGCCCCCTGTGGACAGAGGGTCGGCTGCAGTCCTCAGGCCCCTTGAGGCCCAGCTGTGACATCACAGCCCACACCCAGCTGTCGTCACTGTGAGGCCTGAGCTCTCCCCTCAACCCGACACCACCAGAAATCTAGGGGCTTCCTCAGGGCCTCCCTGCCCTCCCCCATTGCAATCCAGGCACTGCCGATGGCCCCCAAACATAACCAGAACCACCCTTCTCTACCCGCATGCCCTACACCCCAGCAGGCCCTACACCCCAGCAGGCCCTGCCCTCTCTCCAGAGGCAGCACACAGAGCCCCCCAGTCTGTGCCCGGGATCCTCCGCAGCCTCCCGCCGCTCTCAAACACCACCTCAAAACCTGGCCTGGCTCCTCCAGCCCCGCTCATGCCTGCCCCGCACTCACCCCAGCCAAGCTGGCCTCCTGTTTCCAGAACACTCTAAGCTTGGGTCCACCTCAGCGACGCTGTCCTAACAACCGATTTCTTCTCATCCTCTGGGTCTCTTGCCAAGCGTTCGCCTTGCAGAGGGGCCTTCCCTGACCAGCCTGGCCGAAGCAGCCCCCGGCCCCGCCTTTGTCCACCACTCTCTCATGTCTCCCTGGGACATGCATCCCGACCTGCACAGAGCTTGCCACTGTCTGGAAGCATCTCTAGGACGCAGTAACGACATGCTTGCGATACACACGCGCTGAACAGATGGCTCTACGGCCCCTCTAAACCTTCCTCACTAGGTTACCGCGAGCACCTGGGGGCAGCACCTACCTAGCACAGGACCTGGCACTGTGGCCATAAATGCTCAAAAACATTACCTGAAAGACAAACCGTGTTTTCACAAGGCCTCTGCCCAGGCAGGAGGCTGACACACCTGTCAGGGCATCGATAAAGGGAAATCACTCCCACCCTGGCCCCAGCCACTCTTACGGGCTCCCTAAATCACGAGGCGGAGAGGGGTGCAAGATCACCACGGCAGGCAGGGGAGGGGTGGGCTGGCAGGTGCTGGGTGTGTGTCTCCCACGTGTGGCAGTGAGGACAAAAGCACCACTGCTTCACAAGGATGTACGACCTTCTCCCCTCCTTGCTCTGGGAACCTCCTCCAGCACAGCGGTAACTCGCCTCTGTGCCCAAATGCTAGACTTCCTCAGGGGACCCTTCCCAACTTCCTATCTCACTTGAGAAATGTGACAGGCTGAGGGCGTGCCCGTGTCACAGATGAGAAAACCAAGACTCAGCAAAGGTGACTCGCCACGCACGGTCGGTGGGAAGCAGGAGGCTCTGGGGCAGGGCGGAGGGGTGTGGATTTCCACCAATCACTCGTGACTGCCGAGTTCCGGCCACCGGCTGTGCTGAGTGAAGCATGCGGACACGGGGAGCAGGCAGCCTCTTTCTACACGGGGGACTGTCACCACGCACAAGGAGCCACACACTACATGTTTCCACTTATGTGAAACATCCAGAACAGGCAAATACATAGAGACAGAAAGTAGATCAGAAGTTTTAGGAGCTGGGGGGATTAAGGCAGTTTCTCAAAAGGAAAGTTTCCTTTAGAGGTGATTTTAAACAGTTGTAATATCAATTGAGGCAATGGTTCCACAACACTGTGACTGTCCTAAGAACCACTGAGTTGTACGCTTTTTTCATTTCTGAGACGGGGTCTCACTCTGTCACTCTAGCTGGAGGCGCAGTGGTGCAATCATAGCTCACTGCAGCCTCCAACTCCTGGGCTCAAGCGATCCTCTCATCTTAGCCTCCCAAGTAGCTAGGACTGCAGGCACACGCCACCAAACCTGGCTAATTTTTTAATGTTTTATAGAGACAGGGACTTGCTATATTGCCCAGGCTGATCTCGAACTCCTGGCCTCAAGTGATCCTCCCACCTCCGCCTCCCAAAGTGCTGGGATTTACAGGCGTGAGTCACCCACCATGCCCGGCCGAATGCTGCACTTTAAATGGATACAGCATGTGGCATATGAATTATATCTCCATAAAAAACTGTTGCCAAAAAAAGAAAAAAGCTGCCCAAGGCCATCATGGCAGGGCTGGGCTCAGGCCTTGTGCTGTGTCCAACCACCCTAGAGCTGAGGAGACATCAGCTGGTCTGGCAGAACGAGGCCACTAAAGCTCCACCCTGGGGAGCTCGCCCAGGCACCCCTTCCCCGCTCCTCACTCCCAACACCCCTGAGCTAAGTGAGCCCCCTCCCCAGCAGGGGCGGTGCAGGGACAGAGCCGAGCCAACATCTGTAAAGAATCCTGCACCCGCACTTTCCGACGCTTTGTCTCATCTCCCCACCACGACAACAGAGTGAAGAATTCTTACTACTGCCCTTTGATAACAGAGTCCCATTTCGAAAAGCGGCCCAGAGGGGCAGAGCCAGGACCCTGCCCAATCCAGACAATGTGCCCCGGTTTCTAGACAGGAGGCAAAAGCTCTCACAGCTGTGGCCTGGCCACTCGCTTCTAAGATACTTGGTTAAAGGGTGCAGGCCATGGCCACCACCCCCAAAACCCCCTACCCTTGCTACGACCTCACCAACTTCCCTCCCACAGCCAGCTTCCCAGAGAATCAGGGCGGGGGCTGCCGGACCAAGACAGGAGGATGCTGGCTGGAGTGTGGCGTCCAGGAGCCTCCATTTGAACCTTGGCCCCAAGAACCCAGGCAGCCCCTTGAACTCTCAACCTCAGGTGGCTCCTCTGTAAATCTCAAGACGAAAGGATCCAATGTAACTGGAGTTCAACACCCTATAAACGTCAGTTCTCAGGGTAAAAACAGACTTAAGATGCAAATTCAGGAGCAAGAAAAAAACAAAAAAAGTGAGAAAAACTTTCCCCCACCACAAACTCTCAATCCACTCCGGCCTCAAGCCCTGACTCTCAGCCGCCATCTTACAACTTAATGAAACTTGCTGGAAACCCCGGCAATGAGGAGAGGTGGCTTTCGTTCCCTCTAACTGGGTGAACCTGGGCTGGGCACTTGGCTTCTCTAAGCTTCATTTCCTCATCTGTGAAATGGGGACACAGCCCATCGGGTCAGGTTCCTGTGAAAACGAGCTGAGTTAAAGCAGGTGGTCCTGATACAACAGGTTCTCGGCAGGTGTGAGCCCCTCCCAGTCTGAACGTAAGGCCACATCCCAACACTTTTGAGCAGGACAGATAGGAAACAGTCACTATCCTGAGGGTGACGACACTAAAAACGGAGCAGGAGACGGACTCTACCCGATTGCCTAAGTGATTCAAGTACTTTTTCCCTCAGATCATTCAAATACTCTGGCAGGCGCCACACACCCCGCCACCCCCGTTCTCTGCAACTTTCAGCAACTTCAAGAAAGCGGAAGTGACTACCACTGGTTTTTAGCGACCGTTTGAAAACCATGACTCTGGCTGCAAACGGAAGAAGGGGAAATTGTAAATGAGAAAGGAAGCCATTAAAAACGAAAACTACCTCTGCTCCCTCCGCCAGCTCTGCACCATCGCCTCTGGGTTCTTGTTTTGTGGTGTTGTTCTAAGGCCTTCAACACCACCTGCCCCTCAGGAGCCCCCCAGCCCCTTCCCCAGCTCACAGACGGCCTAACTATGGCTCTCACAGAGCTGTCCCCACGGGCGCTGCTGCCACTGTCTGTCCGACCATCCTTGGCGAGGAGTGAGCCGCCACCAGCAGCAGGCTGGCCAGCACCCAGCTCCTTAAAGGGCCCGAGGTTCAGAGGATGGCAAGATCCCCTCCCTCCAACTTCCCCCAACCCACAGTCAGCTCTCAGCCACATCTGAAAGGAGGTTGGGAACACTCAATTCCAATATGGAGTGATGGTAATGGCAACCCCACTAACTCGAGCAGGACCTATGGTGTGTGCTGGTTGTAGAACCCAACACCACCCCAGCAAGGTAGGCACTGGGGACACCCATTTGGGAGAAGGGGCCACTGGGGCCAAAGAAATGGGACCTGGCGAAAGCCAAATAGCTTTGGTCCCATTCTCACGATGAGCTGGGACTCTCCCATGGCTTGGGAAAGCCTGGGGGAGGGTCCCCAATTAGAGGGCACCCCAGGAACCTCCCCCTTGGATGGCAGAACCAACCCTCCCAGGGGAAGTGGCAGCTCTGGTCCAATCCTGGGGGAGGGGGAAGTAATTAGGAAATAAGAAAGTCTAGGGACACTTGGCCAAGGACTGGGGAGGGGACTTGAGCACTCATACTCAGAACTTGTCTCCCAAATTAGTCACAGATTTAAAGGAAAAGACCACTGCGCAGATTTTGTAGCCCTTGGATAGACAGAGGGGAAGAAGGAATGTTACTGTGTGATCCAAAGTCAAAGGCCTGAGTTCAAATCTTAACCTCTCCAAACTGAAACCTCTGTCTGGCCTAGGCCAAGGACCTAACCCCACGGCACCCCAGTTTCCTCATCTGGGAAATACCTTGCAGATGAAGTTAATGTAAAGCAGCACTTCCTGGAGAAAGATCCACAAAACCTGTGTGCAAAGGGAAAACCACGGTTTGGCATGGAAAGGAGGGCGTGTCCCCAGCAAGCCAGGTGCTGACAATCCCGGGAAGGCCTCTCTCACCTCATCTCTCCCTACAACCCTCACCGGCGCCACACCTGACTGCTCAGCCCTGGCAGGGCCGCTCCTGCGCCTTCCCTGAGCTCTCCGAGCCTGACAAGCTCCTCCTGGGTCCTTCAGGCCTCCACAAGCCACCACTTCCTCCAGGAAGCCTCCCCGACTCTGGTAGGGGCCTGCTCCACACCGCTTCCACAGTATCTGGGCCTCGGCTCTGTGACAGGATTTGCCTGTTCAGTCATCTACCTCCCCCCAGAAGATGCCAATACCCCAGGATCTTGCCTAAGGCCAAGCTCACAGTTGAAGATACTTGTTGAATTAATGAAAACTGAAGCCAGAGGAGGAAGGTGATCTGCTAAGGTGACCTGGCCACACATCCTAAAAAAAAAACTGGGGAGAGGGGAGGACCAGAAGAGCAAGTTTTCCTCTAATAGAAAGAAAGAGATGACCCAACAAAAGCCAACCATCAAAAAGACAATAGTAAATCACAATACACAACTCACACAACACAGCTACCCAGGAGTGCAACAGAGCACATAAGCCCAAACTGTACAAAATACCCAAGCATTAGAGCAGGGTTTCTCCTCAGCACTACTAACCCTCGGGCTGGACAGTTCCTTGTGGTGGTGGGACTTCCCTGTGCACTGGACAGCAGCCCTGGCCTCCACCTACTACACACTGGTAGCATTCACCCCAGTTGTGACAACCAAAAACGTCTCCAGCGGTTTCCAAATGGCTCCCGGGGGGACACAATCGCCCACGATTGAGAACCACTGCAATAGATAATCTCGAACCAAATAGTAATCCTAAAAGCTACTGATTCCGGAGCACGTACTGCGTCTTGCATCTGCCACAAGCGCCTACGAACACTGCACTTAATCCCGCCCTGTGCACTTAGAACCGCCCTGTGCGAGCACTCCTGTTGTTCCCATTTACAGCGAGGAAAAGGAGGCACAGCACACCTGGACAATCTGTCCAAGGTCTCACCACTTGGAGAGGCAGAGCGAGGACTCGAACCCAGGTCCCTGTGACAAAAGGCCTCGCTCTAAACACTTAGCCTGTACTGCCTCCTCCTGATGCCAAGCCCAGGGATACAGTCACATGGTCTCATTTAATTTAAGCAAAATGATACATGATAGGCAAAAGCTTTTTTAAGAAAACAGAGCACAACACTTTAAGCAGCACAAGCAACACCACTGGACCCGCAGTGAGTGCACACAGCAGGGTGTGGCGAGCATTTCCATGTGTTTTGTGCAGGTCACTGCACAGGCTCCACGCATGACGACGCGTAACGTGTTCCTCAGGCAATCTTCAGTTCTTGCTCCATCTGCCATGGGCACCCACGGTTAGAACCTTGCCCTCAGGTCGGACACAACCCCACTGCAGTGTCCCTACAACTGTGAACCCAGTACCACACCTGACAGACAACGCGGCTTCCTTTCCAGAAACATCTTGCCTTTCAGGCGGGTGTTAATGGTAACGTCTGCATCCTCAGCACAGACGCATCTTTCTGTGTGTAAAAGAGCAACCAAGAAAGACCCTAACCAGAGATCACTTTGTAAGGCCCTGGGCAAGCGCCCCAGCCAAGCTATTCTGCCCCTCGCCCTCCCAACACATCTGCACTCATGGCTCCCCAAACGTCCCCACCTTGACATATTTGCACGTGCTGTTCCTTCCCACCGGAAGGCCCTTCCTCCCACTCTCCATCTGTCAACTCCTACTCATCCTTCCTAGACAGAGAAAGCCACCCATCCAGCCAGTCTCACCAGTCCCTCCTGCTCCTGCAGCGCCCTGAGTTACCTCTATCACCACACACAGTGATTGTGACTGGACCACTCTGCTTTTGTCTCCCCAGGGACCGGCCCCTCCTCCAGGGCAGGCCAGCACTGGGTCCCTGCCCTGCCCTCAGCAGGCCTCATCTCACTAAAAACCAGGATCGATTGGTGGCTGCTCCAGAGAACGCTGGCGCCCAAGCCCCTCCTCACAACAAGCCAGAGACAACTGGGGACAGGAGAGCCACAGTCACGGTGAAGGGAAAGCCCCACTACTCCAGTCGGCCCGCCCCAGGGGTGAGGCAATGGAGCCTAAGAAGGCTGGCGAGAGTGAAGGGGTGATGGGGGCGAGAGTGCAGAGTCTATGGAGGAAAAGAAGAGGGTAACCAAAGGGAAGGAAGACTCCTGGGGGGACGCGGGCAGTGGGCCAGAGGAGTAAGAGGGAGGAGCTGAGTCTGAGGGTGTAGAAGGGCACCGTGGCAGAAGAAACTGGGGAGGGGAGGCTGGAGGGAGAAGGGGGGTGGGAAAAGACTGAGAGACGTGGGGGGACTGAGAGGAACAGACTATGAGACTCGGAGGGGAGTGAGGGGGAAGAGTCCGAGAGACTAGGGAAGACTAAGGGGGAAGAGACGGGGCAAGGCGGGGAGAGGGGAACCCCAAGGAAGGGGGCATAGGATCCGAAGAAGACAGAATAAACTCGAAGGGCGCTGGGGAAGGAGAACGAGGGGCCTGGACTTCTAGGCAGGGTCCCGCGATGCGGGCCGCTCACCTGCGAGGGGGGGCGGTGGCTCCTCGCACTCGGGGCTCATCGGGGCACCCCCCCCGCCCCGCCGCAGCGGATCTGGCCCCCGCTCCGGGGCCCGGTATGTGGGGGCGGGGGGCGGCGTCGGGGTCTCGCGCAGGCGCCGGGGCTAGCGGGGCCCGCGCACGCGCCCACGGGTCGGGGAGGCCTCGCGCGCCGAGTCTCGCAGAGTTGATTGCGGGTGCGGTGGGGATGTCACGAGACCCGCACAGGCGCCTCCGGGGTCCGCGCCGAGGCGGATGAGCTAGGTCGGCGAGGCCCGCGCAGGCGCCTCAACGGGAAGGGACGGGGGAAGTCGCCCCGGTTTCCCCGGCTCAGCCTGGCGCCCCGCGGGAGGGGAAAGCGTCCTCCTCCGCAGTCCGAGCAGGCCGCAGAGCTGAACAGCGACAGACGGAAGCCGAGGCCTCCTGCCTCCACCTCCCTCTTCCTCAAACCGAGCAGGTCTCTGGGTTCTGCGGTCCGCCTCAGGGCCTCCGACGCCCGGCTCCCTCCGCCACTATCCCACAATCCTCTGAGCGCAGGAGGAGACAGGAGGCCCCGCCCTCCCGCGGCCGTCTCGGTGCGCAGGTGCGCGAGGGGCCGTGCGGCTGGGCCCCGCAGTGCGCCTGCGCGCTGGGCCCGGGTGCGCCCACTCCGGCACCCCCACCGCCGTAGATGCGCTTGCGCCCGTTTGTGCCAACGGTCTCGCCCGGAATAAACCCAGACGACTCGGTGCGCAGGCGCCGCCGCTTGTCCGGCGGCCAGTTTCTCTCCGACTCCGTTCCGCCGTCCAGTGAGCATCCTGCTCCAGAATTTCTCTTTTCCATTCACTTCGTTTGGAAAGCCTTTCGCTATTCTGTCTCCTCCAATCACATTCCTGCCTTGGTCCCGGAATCGAGCTTCTGCGGAATCCATCCCCGGCCTTCCTGCCAACCAGCGCTGGCGCTTTTGTCCCGCTGCCAGGTCCCTCTCGCCAGTCTTTCTGTGAGCCTCAGGAGGATCTCAGTCCCACCTCCAGGCCGTTGACCTGGCTGTGTCGCTATTGTTCCCAGTTCTGCACAGTGTCCTCTAATAACATCAAGTGGAAGGGTCCTCCTAGACCTTAACATCAATATTTATTAAGGTCCCATCTGGCTCTGAGCCTCAGTTTCCCCGGCTTTCAAAGCTCTCCTCCCCGCCAATGTTAAAGGCCTACTGTAAGAATTAAATGAGTAATTGTGTGTGAGAACTTTTACTTTTTTTTTTTTTTTTTTGAGACAGAGTCTCACTCTTTTGCCTGGGCTAGAGTGCCGTGGCGTCAGCCTAGCTCACAGCAACCTCAAACTCCTGGGCTCAAGCTATCCTCCTGCCTCAGCCTCCCGAGTAGCTGGGACTACAGGCATGCGCCACCATGACCGGCTAATTTTTTCTATATATTTTTAGTTGTCCGATTAATTTGTTTCTATTTTTAGTAGAGACGGGGTCTCGCTCTTGCTCAGGCTGGTCTCGAACTCCTGAGCTCAAACAATCCGCCCGCCTCGGCCTCCCAGAGTGCTAGGATTACAGGCGTGAGCCACCGCGCCCGGCCTGACTTTTACTTTTTTTAACCTGCAGACTGACCTTCATTCAGGGACATTTTCTTGAATTATATATTCAAGTATATTTTCCTGTTCTAGTTTTTCGTTCTTTCAAGGATGCCAGTCATGCATTGTCCTTCACATCTATTAGCTTCTCTTTCATTGCTTTAATCTCTGTCATCACCAGCATTCACCGGTTAACACTTGTCAATGATTCGACTTTTCTGCCATGTTTCTTGTGGTCCGGGCTATTTCTAGTCTATTTGTTGCACTTGGTGTTGTTTGGTTACTGTATTGGTTAGCTATTCTGCATGACAGACAACCTCAGTGGCATGTATCATGTTCACAGCTTGGAGTCGCAGGTGTAAAGACTGATTAGACTGGTTCCTGCTCCCCATATCGCTCATGCACCATTGGACTACCCAGGGCACCATCTCATAACGAAAGGCAGGCACATCAGCCCAACTGTGTTAGCACATTTCAAGCCTCTGGTCACTTCACATCTGCCGCTGTCCATTGGTCAAAGCAAGTCACATGGTCAAGCCTGAAGTCAACGGGCAGGTGCATACACTCCACCCACCATGGGGTGGGAAAATATATTTCTCTCATGAAGGTGGAATGGGAGGAAGGGAACATCTGCTGCACAATCTAGTTTACCACAGTCCTCAATGTGTTTCCTTAGGTTTGCTAGTCTTCTTTTCATCTTTGAGATCTTGTTTTAAAATGGACCCAGGTTCCTATTGTTACATAGTTTGAAGCAACTGTGAGTGTATTAGGGATCTCCAGAGAAATAAAATCAATAGGATATATGTAGCTATGTAAAAAGAAATTTATTTTGAGGGATTAGCTCTTGCGGTCATGGAGGTTGAGAGTGCCATGATCTGCTGTCTGCAAGATGGAGGCTCAGGAAAGCTGGTGGTCTATATCCAGTCCAAACCCGAAGGCCTAAGAACCAGGGAGCCAACTGGGTGTAAGTCCCAGTCTGAGTCCAAGGGGCTGAGAATCAGGAGCTCTGTCTGATGTCTGAGGACGGAAGATGGATGTTCCAGCTCAAGAAGAGAGAGCAAATTCACCCTTCCTCTGTCTTTTTGTTCTATTCAGGCCCTCAAAGGATTGGATGAAGCCCACCCACATTGGTGAGGGAAGATCTTCTCTTCCCAATCTACTGATTTAAAAGCTAACCTCTTCCAGAAGCACCCTCACAGACACACTCCAAAATAGCATTTTACCAGCCATCTGGGCATCCCTTAGCCCAGTCAAGTTGACACTGAAAATAAGCCATCGCAGTGAGGCATTTCCTTTTCTTCTGTAGGGATCTTTTGTCTTTTGCCCGACATATGGCTTCCTTGTTTTTTCTCTACAATATGATGGCATAGTTGCCACACTGTTTTAATACATAGGCTCAGGAACTGAAGGGTAGGCAGGTGGCCATATTCAAACACCAAATGGAACCTGGAAAGCTGAGGAAGCCGGTCTGCAAGAAGCTGGGAAGCTGTGGGGGCTTTAAGGACTGTAAGTCTGGGTGTCCACCCTGTCAGAACTCACAGACAGTGATATTGTTTATTCGAATTGAAACCTCTTAAAGTGTATGGTGGGAACATTCATTCCCCATTGTTCACCTTTTCACATGAAGGAACTTCTATTTAGTATCTCTCTACTGGCCTACTTCCGGGAGAAGAGGAATGATTGGATGGGCATTGTAGCTCAGTCCTCCAGCTCTCCTTCCAATCGGAGCCAGGGTGCCCACAGCATGCCTGTGCGCTGGCCTGCTCCCTGCCACCTAAGGGAAGACCTGTGCTTTCCCAGCTGCCTGTGACCAGGAAGTGTCTAATGCTGGGGTAAAGGAACAGCAAGAGCAAAACTACCTTCTCTGATTGCTCTAACGGTAATAAAGGTGATTTTTGATCTCTAGTTCTGAGATCCTGCAGCTACCTCTCAATTTATCCTATATTTTGGAAGAAGGATGAAAAAATTCAACCCAAATCCCAAATCAATTCAAAAGTCCCGGATGTACAGGTACAATCCGCACCAGGAATGAGTCTGGCATCAAATGAGGCTAGGAAACCAGGACACAAGGAAGAGGAGCACACTTTGGAATTAGCCCAGGTTTGAATCCTGGCTGTGTGAACTTAGCCAGGGATTAACCACCCTGGGCGCAGCTTTCTCTCTTGAAAAACGGCATGGGACTCTTTGCTGCAAATGACAAAACTCCCTTTAGCTAAACAGAAAAGAAATTTATTCACGGAGATGACGCAGACTCCCCCAAATCTTTGAGAAAACTGCTGAGTCGTTTTGGTGCTTTGCAGTCAGGAATGAAGCCCACGCCCAACCACAGGCCTGCTCTGGGACACAGAGCGCCTCCACCACCAGCACTGGGCTCAGACACTACTGCCAGAATCTCTGCCTACCCCCTCCAGAAGCCACGTACATCTGCTCCCACCCTGGGCAGAACGGACCGTGGGCTGAGGCCTCCTCTATGGCTACCTCTGACAGCCAGACCAGTGGTGGGTTCTGATTGGTGGAGGACCTGCCTAAGAGGGGGTTCTGATTGGTGGAGCTTAAGTCACATGACCACTGCAAGGGAAGCTGGGAGAGAAAATGGCTTCTACCTTAGAGAGGCTCAACCCTAAGGGAATTCAGGATGCCAGGTGGCCAAAAAAGACATATGCCCCCACACTCTCAGGAAAGGCCAGGAAGATTAAAGGAGACAACGGCTCTGTGGATGATAAAAAGCAACACTTTTTTTATTCCTCTAGTGACTCTCCAAGTCCCTTAAGCTCATGTCCCTCCCACCCTCCCCCACGCACCCTCTAGAGGAGGGGACAAAGGCGGCAGTGAAGGAGGAAGAAGAGAAACACCTTTATTGGAAGAGTAGTGTGGACATGAAAAGGGATAAGAGTGAGAGAGCAGGGGCTGTGGGGGTCCGAAGGGCTGGTGCCTTTCTCAGCGCCCCCTCCAGGGGGCTGTGCAGAGATGAGCTGACACACCCTGGGCCCAGTCACCAGTGAAGCCCTGTGATCTCTTGGGAGAGGACCTCCTGGGTGGAGAGGGAGGCAGGAGGCTTGGGTTCCCACGGAGCGGGGGACCCAAGAAGCCACCTGGTTTCATCGATCCATGCTGTCATCCGTTGGGCTGGAGAAACATGTCTGTAGCAGCTTTTCACAGAATTCTAGCTCTTCCTAGATTGGGGGAGGGCAGAGTGGGAGCCTTGAGTGCAGAGGCCAGACCCTACTTCCAGTAGTCTTGGCACCCAGAAGTGGCTCCTCTTCCCTCCTGGCTGCCCAACCTTCTCCAGCCACTGCTCAGATCCATGATTCAGTGTTCCTCTTCTCACTGGCATCTGAACTACTGAACTAGAACCTGCCCATGTCACCCCATTGGTCTGTCCTCACATTAGCCCCCTTGGGCTCTTTTTAACTCATAGATAGAGGCCCCTGTCACTCCCTGCTCAAAACCCCTTTCATGGGTACAAACCCTGGAAGCCAAGAAAGAAAGCGAGTGTTGCCCAATTTAAAAAGAAAAAAGAAAGAGGTACTGATAGGTTGAAACACATAAATATAAACGATAACTCCATAGCAAAAAAAAAAAAGGAAACAAAAATGAAAGAAAAACAAGTTGAGAGTAAAATATTTGTGATACATATCATAAATGGCTAACGTACTTAACACTAATAGAACTTTTAAAAAAAATCAATTGCGCCCAGTAGATAAGTGTTGAAAGGATATGAGATAGGCCTCAAGGGTGGGGCCCCCCATCACTTGGCCCAGGGTCTGGCACACCAGAGGCTTAAGGGATGTCTGAGGGATGAAGGCAGGACTCACATGCTCCCCACCTGAAACCACAGAATGACCTACACCCTCCCCGGCTGAAACCCCAGGCCAGAATGGTCCCAAGCTATCCCTGTCCCACAGCTTACAGACACTTATCTTCATGGTTCCTGTGAT